TCTCTCTCTCTCTCTGTCTGTCTCTCTCTCTCTCTCTCCTCTCTCCCTCCCTCCCTCTCTCTCCCCTCCCTCCCTCCCTTTCTCTCTCTCCCTCCCTCCCCTTTCTCTTTCTTTCTTGATTGGTTTTTTGAGAAAGGATTTATCTGAGTAACTCTGGCTATCCAGGGACTCTGGTTTGTAGACCAGGCTGGCCTTGAACTCGGAGATCCACCTGCCTCTGCCTCCTGAGTGCTAGGATTAAAGGCGTGTGCCACCTCGCTCGGCTCCTATTCTGTTTTCTTCTTCCTATGTATCCTAATATTTTCTATGGAAGCTTGTTGTTTATATTTAATGTTAAAGTCTATTTTATTGTGGTCTAAAACCTGCGTTAGAGACTGGCAGCTCTGTTGACCAGCCATGTGCAGTAGGGAGGCACTGCCGAACTGGAGAACAGGCACTTTTGGTACAGGCTTAGTTGTGTTGTAAATGAGGTAAGAAAATGCTTCAAGGCATGTACTCAATAACGTGCGGCTGCTGCTGCACCCAAACTAGATCAAGATTATGCGGACACTTGCGCCCCCTAGCGTCCGGGAAGGAGCTCCAAGATGCCGCCTAAGGGACGAACTGGAAGAGACTCAGGGCTAAGGTGGGTACCACAGTCCCCAGCCCCTTTCGCTCCCGCCCAAGTCCTGAGACAGTGCCAATCAGACGGCGGCTTCCGCATGGAGGCGGCACTTCCTTCTGCAGTGCGCACGCGTGCGCGAAGTCCCGCCCCGGAACTGCAGTTCCAGCCGCGCTGCTGCCGTGCTGCAGTTCCGGGTCAGGGTAGCGCAGGCGGCCCGGTGTGTGAGGGAACTCGGTCGGTGAGTACTCTTGGTGAGTGCGGTGCGGAGCGAGTCCGTGGACCTCTGCGGACACGCTCCCGGGGTCCCCGCAGCATAGTGGTTCCCGGGTGGCCCCACCGCCCTGGTTCTCGGGTGGCTCACGCCTGAGGGCCAGTAACCACGCATCCAGGCCCAGCAACCCCCCTTGAAGAGCTCGTGCGATCGGAGTGCCCGAGGGACTCTTGCAGGCGTCCCTTTTAGTGACATTCCCTTCCGCTTGTCGAGGTGGGGCCGAAGTGCGGTGGTCGTGGTGTAGTCGGTGCCTGGGACCGCTGGGTGAGCCTTGCTGCGGGTCAGCGTGCTTCTCGACACAGGCGCCATGCTAAGCGGGTTTTGACATGCGTCACCACGTCGTATTCATTTGACGACTTAGTGGGATAAACATCTCATTATCTCTAAATTGTAGATGAAGAAACTGAGCCACAGAGACGTTCACGAAAGATAGAGGTAGCAAGTGTAGGATCCAGATATGAATCGAGTTTTATTTTATGCCTTCCACAATCTGTTCTTTCTTATTTAATGAGAGTCGTTGTGGAGCCACTTCAACTCAAATGAGTCATGCATAACCCCTTACTCCCTTTAAAGACAGAATCTTATGTAGCCAAGGCTAGCTTTGAACTCCTGATCGTCCTAGCTCGGATTCCGGAAGGCAGGGTACTACACTATGCTTGTTTTTTATGCAGTGCTGGGGGTGGAACCCAGGACTTCATTCATGCTAGGCAAACAGTCTGAGCTACATCTCTAGCTAGCTGTAGATTACTTAAAATGTAATTGGAAAGCTGCATGGGATGGAAATGGCATTTGCTTTGTTCTAATAGGGAAGAGAGCTTAGTGCACTCGTAATAAAGCATACTCTATCCCCTAAACACAGAAATGAAAAAACATCCCAGATTCTTAATCCATCTTAAAAATGGCTTGTGTAGGTCAGGCATCATTCTGTCACCTCTGTTGATAATCTCAATTGTTTGTATACAGCGTAAAGGTATACAAAAAGCCCCTCTCTTTTTAAAGGATTAAAGCACTAAATTCTGAGAAGAGTAGGTAATGTTGTTGAAGATTGCATGCAAATTAAGTGTTGGAGCTCGTGTATCTTTACTGCATTGCCTGTTTTCCCTCTGCTCCAAGCTGAGGTACCTATTCTGTGGGTGTGTTTCATTTTCGGGCTGGGAGCATCGTCTCTGTGTGTGTTAAACCATCTTCAGGTCCTCAGTTGTTCCCAGGGTCAAGTATGTTTTAGGTTCATTGGAAAGTGTGTGTTGCCATAGAAGCTGTGCTTCGAGGTCGCTCACCTGAAAGAACATTTCTTTTCAGCAACCATGAAGTTAAAGGAGACAAAGTCAAGGCCAAAGCCGCCGAGCCGTGGCACATTTCAGACAAAGGGCATCAAAGTTGTGGGGAAATGGAAGCAGGTGAAGATCGATCCGAACCTGTTTGCAGACGGACAGATGGATGACTTGGTGTGCTTCGAGGAACTGACCGATTACCGTTTAGTCTCCCCTGCCAAGAACCCCTCTGGTCTCTTCTCAAATGAGGAGCCCAAGAAGAGAAAGGCCGAAGCTGTTTCAGAAGAGGAGGAGGAGGAAGAAGAGGAAGGAGAGTCCAGCTCCCCAAAGAAAAAGCTCAAATTGAAGAAGCGCCAAGGTGCAGTAGTGGCTGCTGAAGGATGTACTGCCCAGGATGAAGTCCAAGATCCCGAGCCAGAGACTCAGGAATGTGTCCCTGTTTGTTCTGATCGAAAGGTAGGAGAAACAGCATCGGAAAGCTTGGCACGGGCTCTTCCCAAAAAGAAGAAAAACAAAGGGAAAAAAAAGTTAGACGCTTCCCAGAGCACTGCCCCTAAAGTGCCCAAAAAAGCGAAGACATGGATGCCTGAAGTGCATGACCAAAAGGCAGACGTGTCAGCCTGGAGGGACCTGTTTGTGCCCAAGGCCGTTCTCCGAGCGCTCAGCTTTCTAGGCTTCTCTGCACCCACCCCGATCCAAGCCCTGACGTTGGCCCCTGCCATCCGTGACAAACTGGACATCCTCGGAGCTGCTGAGACAGGTAAGGGCTGTTCTCTCTGTCCCAGGCAGGAGAGCTTTTGGATCTAGGCTTTGGTTGCTCATAGGCTGGAAAAGTGGAGGAAGGGAATGTAGAGAACATGACCACAAAAACCATGTTGAATGACCGTGTCGAGAAAGCATCCAGCTCTGGGCTGACATCTGTCCTGCCTGACTTTGGTACCCTTTATCTCTGTAGAGCGTGCGAGATGGAGATGACAGCACTACTGCCTTGCAGTCAGGTTGAGAGTGCTCTCTTCCAGCTCTGCTGAGGAGTTTTTAAAACCAAGAATGGATGTTAGTTTTTTGTACAAATGTTCTTGTATGTATTTAGGTATATGGGTTTTTGTTTTTAGTCCATTGATAACGGTAAATTATATTGATTTTCAGAAATGAAAACTAAACATCCCAGAGAAACAGTGAACTTGATCACAATGTGCTGTTTATATAATGTTCTTGTCTGGTATTAGAGTTGACGCTAACACTGGCCTCAATAACTTGTGAAATGTTTTCTTGTCAATTATCTGAAATAGTTTTAAATAATTGATGTTTTTTCAATCTTAAATATTGTTAGAATTCATCTGGGCTTGCTCTTTCCCTTCTAGGCAGGTTTTTATTTTTAAGTACAGTTTTAATTTTAAAATGTAAAGGGTTTTTTTGTTTGTTTGTTTCCACTTAAAATTCTATATAGTTTTTTGTTCCATGTAGCTGACAATCTGTTATCAGGTTCATAAGTATTTTATATATTAAAACATTCTTGTTAATTTTCTAAGTGAGCTGGCTCCTTTCCATTATAAAATAACCATCTGTATCCTACAGGAGTTCTTTGTTCTAACATCTGCTTTCATATGCTGTTCATTCTGATGTTAGTATGGTCTGTCCTTTTTCATACTTTTTTGTAGATATACTTTGGACAAACTATTTAATATGTGAGTAGTGCATAATTTTTTTTTTAACTGAGTTATTCAGGCCATTTATACTTAATGTGGTTATGGAAAACAGTTGAGTTTAAATCTGTTGTTTTGACTTTTCCTAGTTGTTCAGATGTTCTTTATTGTTACCTTACTTGAGATTTTAAAAAATTTTTGGTGATATTAAAGATTAAATATTTATTTGAAATATTTAAGACAGTGTTTTAAATTTGGATTTTTAAAATTAATACTTGCTTCTACATAGTGGAATATCTTAGGGATAGGATCCAAGTCTATGTATGAAATTCACTTATACTTCATATACTCCTTAAACATATAGCCTGTAGGTCATGTTGGCAACTCAGAATGTTTAAAACTTTTTAGTATTTGGGAATTCAAATTTTTGGGTTGGGTACTCAACTTGTGTTTGGATGTTTTTGAAAACAAACTCTGTAAAATTCTGATGGTACATACCTTTAAGAAGCAGGAGGGTCTGTGAGTTTGAGGTCAGCCTGGTCTACAGAGCAAGTTCCAAGCCCGCCAGGCCTGCATGGACCCTCGTCCCAAAACAAAACAACAGAAAACAAGATGTTTGTGTCCACAGATCACTTCTGATACAACAGGTGCTGTGAGGTTTTACCAAACCAACCTCTTCTCCACCTCAACTCCAGTCATATGTCCTATTCCACAGTTCAGTTCTGACTGCCTGGGGTTAGAGTCCTACCGCAACAAGCTCAGGTCCAGTCTCACAAGACCGTTTCCCCACTGGGCCCTTACTCCTGAGGATCGAGTGATAGCTCCTCAGTTTAACACTTTTCTAAATAGCCCCCAGAATTTAGGGAGACATGTTTACTGGCTTAAAGGGTGAACCTCGGGAACAGCTCAATTGAAGAGATTCATAAGGCAAAATGTTGAAGGCAGCAAGAGGACAGAGGGCTTCCATGTGCCCATCTGGGCACACCGCCTTTTTTGAGTTCACCATCCTGGAAAGCTCTTCAAAGCCCATCATTTGTAGTGTTCCTATGGAGCTTCCTCCCATTATGTAGGCATAAGTCTTGGTCATTGGAGATTGAAGTTGTCTTCGGTCCCCCCTCTAGTGATCAGGAGGGATGTGTGTGAAAGTTCCCACCCTGCAGCCACCAACTCCTGAAGTTTTCTAAAGACAATTAGTCTCTAGCTCACAGTCATCTCGTTAATTTACAAGAATGGAAGATGGAGATTAAATATTATAATAAAAGGTGCTCCTATCAGAAGTTATGGTTTTCAGAAGTTCTGTGCCGGAGCTGGGAATGAGAGCAAATACACATTCATTATTGTACTGTCTCCTCTCGTTTTACTACCACAGGCCTTTGTTGTGTCTTAGTGTTTGCTTTAGGGCTCACAGTCTGTCATGGGTTGTACACATACATTTGTCATAGTGTTCCTTCAGGTGATACAGTGCCTAGTGTGTGCTACAAGAGCCTCTCACGGGCTTCTGTCCACCTCTCCCTCCTCTGTACTTTTGGTTGTGTATTTTTATCTCTGTCTCTGTTGGAAATCAGAACAATGCTTTAACTGTTCTGCTGTAAGCAGTTATATTTTATTTTATTTTTATTTTATTATTATTATTTTGATTATTCAAGACAGGGTTTCTCTGGGTAGCTTTGCACCTTTCCTGGAACTTACTCTGTAGCCCAGGCTGGCCTCGAAGCAGTTATATTTTAAAGAGATTTGAAAAGAAACAGTTTGTAGCATGAATCTTAAAGAGTCTTATTAATAAAATCAAACCTGGGCCAGGTATTGGGGTGAAAGCTGGAAGATCAGAGAAGCAAAACAAGCCACAGCTACTTGACCTTGCTAGTTCCTCAGCTGATCCTGTTTCCTCAGACTGGAAACCTCTGAGTCCTCATCCAGAATGAATCTCAGCTGAACTGCTGCTCAAAAGCCTGAAAGCTTAACCAGCCAAATGCTTCTAGTTTCTGGTCTTCACACCTTATATATCTTTCTGTTTTCTGCCATCACTCTCTGGGATTAAAGGTTCATTTCTTGGGATTAAAGGCGTGTGTCACCATGCCTGGCTGTTTCCAATGTGGCCTTGAACTCACAGAGATCCTGAGGAATTTCTGCTTCTGGAATGCTAGGATTAACGGCGTGTGCTACCACTGCCTACCCTCTATGTTTAATATTGTGGCTCTTCCATTCTCTGACCCCAGATAGGTTTATTAGCGTGCACAATATTTCGGGGAACACAATACCACCACAACAGTTCTTTCTGTTTCTGTAATTTCTGGTGCTCTTCATTCCCTGTGTAGATGGAGATTTTCATCGGCCATCCTTTCTTCTGCATGGAAGACTTCAGTTAGCATTCTTTATAGCAGAATCAGTTCAGCTTTTGTAAGACTGAAGCTTACATAAAGCTTACAAAAAGCTTACAAAAGGCTGAGGCAGCCTTTGTTTTGTATTTGTTTTAAAGTTTTTGTTTTTGTTTGTTTATTTGTTTTTTTTTTCTGGGTAGTTCTGAATTGTCAGTTTTATTTTTCTCAGACTGTCAAATACAGATGCTGCTATGATATATTTCGGCTGACTTTGTCTTTGATGAAAGTCTGTGTTTTTTCTTAATTTTTTTTTTTTTAAGCTTTTGCTTCTAATGTTTGGCTTCTTTGGTGTGGTTATTTTTTACTTAGAACTGGTCATTTCCTTTGAAAACTATTCATGAAAGTTTTTTTTAGAACATTTATTTATGTATGTGTGAGCATTCACGGATAGGTTTGTACAAACCGAGGCCTGTATATAGAGGTCAGAAGAGAACTTATGGGTCTCGGGATTGACCTCAGATCCTCAGGCATAGTGGCAAGTGTCTTTATCCATTTAACCATCTCACCAGCCCATGAGAGTTCTTTGCAGGTTTGGATTAGGACTCTTTTTTTCTTTCAGAGACCATGATTGATGTTTCCTGGGACATTCTTGTTTGTCCACTTCAGTATCCAGCAAGAATATCTTTCAGGTCCCCTAGTAGATCCCCAAACACAGATGAGATGATGCTGAACTCTGTACTTTTTTTCCCTGCACATTTATATAGATTATGAATGACTTTTATATCTTGAGCATTTATGCACTGTGCTCATACTTTCTGCAGATTAAAATATAACAGCAAAGCTAACATTAATTTCTTCACAGTTTCATGGAAAGAATATTCATTCTTATTGTAGATCTTAGTAACCAATTCATAATATTTTTCTTCCTCAAGTTGAGACTTTCCAGTTTTCAATCATAGAAGAACACCTTACAGCTTCTCTATAGCATATCGGAGCTGCTCGGGGAGAGCTCCTCTCAGGTGCTAGGGCAGTGAGTCAAATAGGAACCACCTCAACAGAAGCTGAACAGAAGCAGGAGCTCGCAGTCTGATAACAGAGCTCTGAGTGACTAACAGGTGGGGAACATATATGGTGTGAAGACACCGGACAGACTAAGGAAGACTCACGTCTTGTGTAGATGAGCCAGACACTGTGAGAGTTCCCCTACTGCTTGGAATGATAAACAGCTTGAAATTTATGGACTTACCAGTTTAATAATTTTTGGACGATAATTGACCATGAGTAACTGAAATGCAGAAAGTAAAATGACAATTAAGGAGAAAAGCTGTACTTCAGATTTTCAGGTTGTAGTGTCCTGTTTGTTTTGACCTCTTGGATGATGTGGGCTCCAAATGCCTCCAGAGGTCAGTTTTAAAACACACAGGCCCAGAGACAAACTTGTTAAGAGTTCTGAAAAGAACCATTTACTTAATTCCTTCACTGAAGACAGTTGAAGTGATGCGCAGATTTCCCCGCAGTAAGACAGACTCACCCTTCTTTCTTTTATGGTACCATCACTGGGGTGTTTGTTCTTTGTCACTGGTGACTTCAGGTCTAGTGCTAGCATACTGTACCTTTCCTTGTTTTATCCCACACACCCAGCTGCCGTGCGCTGCAGGAACATCTGTGGAATGGTGGTGCTTTGGGTTGGTCAGGCTGACACTTGGCTCTTTCAGGTTCCCTTGTTTCTCTGCAAAGGCGGGAACTCCAACAGTGACTGCATCATGATTCCTGTTGTTTTTGCTTTACTTCTAAGGAAGCGGGAAAACTCTTGCTTTTGCCATCCCGATGATTCACGCAGTGCTGCAGTGGCATAAGATGCGGGCTCCCCCCATCCCAAATAGCATGGGAGTACCACCGAGGGAGACCAGGACAGGAGCTGCTTCCGATCTTGGATCACCTTGCAAGGGCGGAACTGAGTCTGGAGTGTTACCCGATGAGGCCAGAACTGAGAAAGAAGCACAGCCTGGGGAAGCTGAGGCTAAGGCCAAAGCCAAGACCAGTGCCTCTGCCTCAGCCCAGGCACTGCTCTCCTGTGATGGTGATGATGCTGGTGAAGGACCTTCTTCCTTGGTTGAGGAAAAGCTTATCGTCAAGCAAAGTGAGGACAGAGAAGAGAAGCTTGATGAAGAGCAGGCTGGGAAGTTAAAACAGGGCCTATGTGACCAAATTGCTGTCTATAAAGTACACCCAAGGCGCCCTCTGCTGGGACTGGTCCTCACTCCCACTCGAGAGCTGGCTGTCCAGGTCAGACAGCACATTGATGCTGTGGCCAGGTTTACAGGTGAGATTAAATGCACTTAGTACATGTTTCTAAGCGAGTTTCTAAACGCCCTGACAGCAGTGAGAGCTGTGACTCCTGTCCTCTAGGGGCACTTTCTCGTTTGCTGGAGAATTAAGTCCTTTAGAAATCGATTGACATTTGTTCAGTTCCCTCAAGGGGACCAGCTATGTAAAATGTTTGTGAATAACCTAACCTTTTAATAACAAATGTCCTGGTTGCCTTGAGGTAAAAGCTTAATTCTTTACCTTTTGGGAAGGGTTTCCACAGTATGGTGTTTATCCTAACAAAATCCACAGTTAAGCTCCAACTCAGTGCTGAGCACCTCAGCTGTGTTATCCTGTGTGTTCACTCCTATCCCTTGGTCTAGAAGCAGTCCTCTCCCAGAAGAGCTCAGGGTCACTAATGGAAGGGCGTGGGAAGGGCTCCTTAGGGCATGTCACAGAAATACCCTTCCCAGCACTGTAGTGACCACTGCTCGTGGTCAGAGCTGTGGAGGTGAGTGTGACTGGGTTCAAACCCAGCCATTCCCTTGTGGTTGGAAAGGAGAGAGTAGAAGGGAATAGCAAAGTAGACAGGGTCCAGACACAAACTACAGGCTACTTGGTAAGCCCTCGAGCAGTCAGGCCAGGACAACTTTTTCAGAACTCCCTTGGCGTTGAAAGCTGTGTTGGTGACCATGTGCTAATCCAGAGGATGAGCAGCCAGATGGAAAAACAGTGTCTGTATGTTTTCTGTCCTGTAGGGATTAAAACAGCAATTTTAGTTGGTGGAATGTCCACGCAGAAACAGCAGAGGATGCTGAATCGCCATCCAGAGATTGTGATTGCCACCCCTGGTCGGCTCTGGGAGCTAGTTAAAGAAAAACATCCTCATTTGAGCAACCTTCGGCAGCTCAGGTGAGAGGCGGCCCCTCTCCCTTCTCTCTTAGGCTTTCAGAAGTGAGCCTGAGGTTGTGGTGTGTGCAGGATGGTGTGTGTGGTGCTTTCTCACTACCACAGAACACTGGCCATCCAGGCCCTATCCTTGAAAACCAAGCATGCCTGAGAGAAGTTGGTTGATGCCCTAGTGGTGATGGTAGGGTGCCTGTATGTGTGTGAATGACAGTCTGTGGTTGGGGTGGGAGCAGGGTATTCTGTAGAGATGTTTCTTCCCTGCAGTTGCACTAACCAGTGATGTGGGCCTGTCTGTCTGGATCTGCAGGTGCCTGGTGATAGATGAGGCTGATCGGATGGTTGAGAAAGGCCATTTTGCTGAGCTCTCCCAGCTTCTAGAGCTGCTAAACGACTCCCAGTACAACCCCAATCGACAAACTCTTGTTTTTTCTGCCACACTGACCCTGGTACACCAAGCTCCTGCTCGAATCCTTCATAAGAAGCATGTGAAGAAAATAGATAAAACCGCCAAACTTGACCTTCTCATGCAGAATATTGGCATGCGGGGCAAACCAAAGGTCATTGACCTCACAAGGAATGAGGGTACAGTGGAAACGCTGACAGAGACCAAGATCCACTGTGAGACAGATGAGAAAGACTTGTATCTCTACTATTTCCTCATGCAGTACCCAGGCCGCAGCTTGGTGTTTGCCAACAGTATCTCCTGCATCAAACGCCTCTCTGGACTCCTCAAGGTCCTGGACATCATGCCGCTGACTCTGCATGCCTGCATGCACCAGAAACAGAGGCTCAGAAACCTGGAGCAGTTTGCCCGTCTGGAAGAGTAAGTGAAACCTGTCTCCAGAGGCCTGGCTTTGAGCCATGAGCCACTGTACCGAGGGGGCCAGGGAACTAGGGACCCCGCCCTCTGTCACAGGTGCCTTAGCAGCAGAAGACAGACTAGCTCTCCTTTTTTTCTTCTTCTTCCCTCTTTTTCTTAATTTTATTTCTGTATTTGGCAATGTCATGCATTCATTGTGTTTGTTTGCTATTAATGTTCTTGGAGACTTCTGGTAACTCGTTAGACAACAGATGAAGTCCTGGGCATCGGGTTACTTCTGACATCCTTGAGATTATGATTGAGAGCACAGACTATAACTAGAGTGTCTGAGAGCAAATCCTGAACCCTTCACTTCCTTGCTGGTCAAGTTAGTCAGGGTCTCTGTGCTCCGTTGTCTCCTCCGCAGGGTAATAGGTGCTGATGGGATCCTAGAAGAAGAGAGTGACTGGTGATGTAAAGGGGAAGTGTTGGGAATGCTGCCCGCTGTGACCTTGGGTAGGCAGCTACTACTGCCTATTACCTTGGTTCTTCTCACTCTAGGTGACAGAGTGCTGTCTAGAAAGGCTCACCAGCTTGCCCAAGGTTCCCCAATGTGAAAGTGACAGGGCTGGGTCTCAGATGGACCTGTCAGACTCCAGAGCCCACGCCACACCTCCTCATGTTTGTCCATCTGCTGTGAACCAACTCTGATGCAGGGAGCAGGTACAGGTTGTCTGTCTAGGGAAGAGTGAGGCGCCCTATCAGAATGGAAGAGAGTAAGTGAGAAGGTATTAGGAGAAAAGACACTGACCCGGAGTGTGTGTGGCTTCATTTCATTCACTGACAGAATGCAGCATGTGCTGAGATGGTAAGACTCAGGTTTTGAGTCCTGATTCCACAACAGAATAGGCATGTTCACTATGGAAAGTGAATTTCTCAGCCTCAGCTTAATTGTAGAAGGGAGGAAATAGTATTACCTGGTAGGGCTGTAGTGTGGAGTGCTTAGTATATGCTGATTAATAATTGCTATTTATAATTATGGTTGTGCTTTGTTTCCATCACAGCTGTGTTCTCTTGGCAACAGATGTGGCAGCTCGGGGTCTGGATATTCCTAAAGTTCAGCATGTCATCCATTACCAGGTATGGCTCTTAGCAGTAAAGCCCTGCCCGTTTCCTGCTCCCTCCAGTGAATGGGGAAGTGTTAAAGCAAAGGTTGGAACAGAGGGGAAAGGTATTACTCCTCAGGCTTCCTGCACAGTGTTCCCATTAGCATCTAGTGCCCACTGTTACTGCTTTTGAAACAGTGAACATCCTATCAAATAGCCTTTCTCTTCAGGCTGCTTATATCTACAGATTCAAGTGTTAGCCTCTCCTACCACCTTACCCTCCAATGGAATGGCTGAGCATATATCTTAGTTTTCTCTTCTCTATAACAGAATACCTAAGACAGGGTAATTTGTAAAGAGGGTGTGCCTATTGATTCTGGGGCCTGGAAAGTTCAAGGGCATACCACTAATATCTGTTCTGCTCTGCTTCTGGTGGGAGCCTTGAGGTGGAAGGGGATGCAGGTGGTAAGTGCAGTGGTAAACGTGGGGGAGGCAGCCTTGGGTAACATCTCATGGTAGCCAATCCAGACCCTGGAGAGCAAGAACTCATTCCATTCCTCTTTCCATCCCATCCACAAACACCTCCCTCTAGGCCCCTTCCAACACTGCTGCACTTGTTATACTGAAGAAGTAAGCGTCAGCGTGAACTTCGGTGGAGACAGACAACAGCAGCGTGTTTTTGTTTTTATAATTTAATTTTTATTGGAAATAGATTTTTTAATACAGTATATTTGGTTTTTTTCATGTAATATATTCTAGTCATGGTTCCCCTCATCTAAGTCATCCCAGATCCTCCCCATCTTCTCACCTACCCACATCAATACCTTTTCTTTCTCTCTTCCATTACAAAATAGGCCACAAAACAAACAGACAAACAAACAGACAAAAAACAGAATAGGACAATAACAAACAGAAAAAGGGAGCCAAAGGTAACACAAGAAACACATGCAGATGCAGAGACACACATTATCACACACACAAATCTCATAAAAACACAAAAATCACAAACCATAATATATAAACAAAAGACCTATAAAGAAAAAAAAAATGACACCCAGGCAAAGTGTTATGAGACCAAACCCCTCCAAAAATACCATTGAGCTCATTTTGTGTTGGTCACCTACTTCTGGGCACAGGGCCTGCCATTGTGATTTGCATAACCAATGAGACTCTGTTGGGGAAAACGAATTTTTCCTTTGCCTGTGGTTGTCAATTAGAGATAGCTTCTGGGTTATGGATGGGGGCGTGTGTCCACTCCTCTCAGCACTGGAACCCCGTCTGGCTTAGACCTGTATAGGCCCTGCGAAAGCTGCTTCATTCTGTGAGTTCCTGTATATGTGAGTCCTGTTGTGTCTAGAGGGCCTCTTTTCCTTGATGTCTTCCATCCCTACTGGCCCTACAATCTTTCTACCTTTCCTCTTCCACGAAGTTCCCTGAGCCCTGAGGGGAGGGATTTACTGGAGATATCCCATTTAAAACTAAGTGGTCTGAGGTCTCTCACTCTGTCCAGTTGTGGGTCTCTGTATTTGTTCCCATCTACTACAAGAGGAAGCTTCTCTGATGATGGCTAAGCAGGACACTGATGTATGAAGATAGAAGAATTTTTATTTGTACATTCCCTTAGCAGAACAGTGATATTCCTTTTGGTCTGTGACCTATCTAATATCAGATTCTTGTCTGCCCAAGCAGTGTCAGGCATGGGTTTCATCTCATGGTGTGAGCCCTAATTCCGATCAGGTATTGATTGGTTACTCCCACAACTTTGGTGCCACTGTTGTACCAGCACATTATATAGTCGGGTCACCATTGTAGATTGAAGGGTTTGTATCTGGGTTGGTGTTTACCTTTCTCTTCTGGTAACATGCAGAGTACCTTCCAGTACCAGAAACACTAGTTCATATAAACACTAGTCTATAGGGGTGAAGATTCTAGGTAGGCACCAGCTCAACTTTTCCTTGTTCAGTGAGTTAATATAGGTGTTGTCTTCAACAATAGGGTCTTACTGTCAGTTTGAGGAGAGCAACAATTAGCCTTAGCAATAGCCTGGGTTGTTTGGGGATTTTATATAGGGCCCTTACAGCAATAAGTTAAATGGCTATTCTGGTGTGCAGTACAACAGTGGTGTAGTTAAGACCTCTCTTGGCTAAATCCCGGCTGTGTGACCTTCAACAAATTATTTAGTCTCTATCCCTCGGATTTCTCATTTGTGAATGGCAGGGTAGTATATCTCTGGGTTAGTGAGGCACATATGTAAAGAGCTTGGGTCACTAAATTGGAAACACTGACTACCTACCTGTTCAGGACCAATAGTAGCAGTGACAGTAGTGATTGTGAATAGCAAACAGCAGCAGATAGTTGTATGGGCTCCAGATCCTCCTGCCAGGAATTGAACACCACTCTGATGCTTTAGAGCTGGCAGCTTCGGGCAGGTACCTGGGCACCATTCATTTCAGTGCCATTTTCTGTAAGCTGGAAGCAGCGACCACATCTGCCCCTTAGGGTTGTTATAGCTGAGTGGATAGTGAAGCACCTGCCCAGTGTAAGAGTGGAAAGCCTGGTATCTATTAGGATGGTTTTTGTAGGCGGAGTTTCTTGTCAGGACCACTGGCTCTCCAATAACCACACAGACCTAATTATAAGTGCTCAGCTGATAGCTCAGACTTTTTACTAACCAGCTCTTACAACTTAAATTCTCCTTTTTTTTTTTTTGTTTTTCGAGACAGGGTTTGTCTGTGTAGCTTTAGTGCCTGTCCTGGATCTTACTCTGTAGACCAGGCTGGCCTCAAACGCACAGAGATCCACCTGGCTCTGCCTCCCAAGTGTTGGGATTAAAGGCGTGCACCACCGCCGCCCGGCCATCCATATTCCTTATGTACGCTCTACCCCATGGCGGTGCCTTTTTCAGCACTGCATGTTCATCTTGCTTCTCTCCAAGTCTCCTGGGGACTGCCCTCCTTCCCTGTGCTCTCTTTGTGCAAGTCCCGCTTCACCTCTTTCTGCCCAGCTATTGGTTAGTCAGCTCTTTATTAACCAGTGAGAGTAATACTCACTGTACAAAAAAGATTGTTCCACAGCACTTTACTATTTTCATCTTTAATTCTTTTGCTTTGAAAAATATTTTGGGAATACCAATTTCAGATTAGCACATTAGTACCTGGAACAGAGGTACTGGGTCGATTGTAGAAGATACCAGAACCACATAGTATAGAGTATAGTCCCAGTCCCTAAGAAGTACTGCATCCTGTAGAGAAGTGAGATATGACCACCACTGTAACACAGACAGGAAATTACCACATGTAATATAGTTTGAGAGGGTGCTGAGTGCTTTCTAGAAGATGCTGCCATTCTAGGATGGAGAGGTTGGGAGATAAGGACTGTAGGGAGGTGTGTTTGGGGTATATCTTAGTTAGGGTTCAGCTGCTGTGATAAACCCTGTGACCAAAAGCAACTTAGGGAGGAGAGGGTTTGTTTTACTTTACAGCTTACAGTCCACCATGATGGGAAGTCAGGGCAGGAACCTGGAGGCAGGAACTGAAGCTGACTGGCTTGTTTCTCCTGGCTTGCTCGGATTGCTTGTTTAGACAACCCAAGACCACCTGTCCACATCAATCATCAATCAAGAAAATGCCCCACAGACTTGTCTACTGAACAGTTGATGTGATGGCAGCATTTCCTCAGTTGAGGCTCACTCTTCCCACATGACTCTAACTTGTATCAAATTGAGAAGAACTAACATAGAACTCAGTCTGGAGTGAGAAGAGGACTTTATTGGGCTATGAGTAGGTGAATAGTTGCTGAGGCCAGCAGAGAAGTTAGCAGCAGGTGGCTGAAGGCCTAGAGTATCATGGTCAGGGGCTGGCTCTTCATTCTGTAAGATGAGGAGTGGCAAACTTCTTTTCCAGAATCACGGTAAACGGTTTATAGTGGACACTGAGCCACAGGAGTCAGAGAGGCAGGGCTGCCAGTATCCATGCCATGCTGTTGGTGGACAATATACCTGCTGTAGGTTCACCTGGGCTTAGCATGGCCTTTGAATCCTGGCTCCCACACACATTTAGTTGGGTAACCTAGGGGAAGTGGGTGGACCACTCTGTATTTAGTTTCCTGGTTTATAATATGTGGATAATGACGAAGTATGAAGTATTTCATATGACTAGGATATATCTACCTTCATTTCCTTCCTTCCTTCCTTCCTTCCTTCCTTCCTTCCTTCCTTCCTTCCTTCCTTCCTTCCTTCCTTCCTTCCTTCCTTCCTTTCTTTCTTTCTTGTTGTTTTGTTTTGTTTTTTTTCAGACAGGGTTTCTATGTATGATAGCTCTGGCTGTCTTAGAACTTGGTTTGTAGACCAGGCGGGCCTTGAACTCACAGAGATCCACCTGCCTCTTCCTCCCAAGTGCTGGGATTAAAGGCAAAGGCATGTACCTGGCCTTCATTACATTTCCCTTGCTGTGATAAAATAGTATGGCCAAGGCAGTTTATAGAAGAGTTTATTTGGCTCGTGGTTCCAGAGTGATAAAAGTCCATAATGAGGGAGTAGAGCTGACAGATGGGAGGTGGGTGGAACAGTAGCTGAGAGCTCAACTGCAAATATGAAGCAGAGAGAGTACATTGGAAATGGTAGATGGCTTTTGAAGCCTCGAAGCCTGCCACCAGTGACACACTTCCCCAGCAAGGTAATAATTCCTAAGCCTTAAAAAAATGGGGCTACCAATTGGGAACCAAGTGTTCAGGTATCAAGTACCTACCAAGTAGGAAACATCTCATTCAAACCACCACATACAAAGTGTTTTTTGGTTGGTTGGCTGTGAGAGCCCACAGAGGTTTCCTAGTGAAACCTGAGCTTGCTTTATGCAGTAGGGCTGCATAAGGGGATGGATTGCCCACATGCATGGTTACCAGGTGTTTGGAAGGTCTGCACTTGGCTGTGCTAGGGGAAGGTCTTTTGCTCCACCCCTTGGCATTCTTATAAAAAGCCCTTTAGAAGAGACAGAAGGGGCCAGTGGATAAGGATCCAGGCCCTCCCGAGGCTATCCTGTGTTTCTATCTTTCTCTCCCCTCTATATTTCTATCTAAATCTCTTAGCCCTCACTCCTCAAGAGTACCCTGGGGTGGAAAGTGGGGGTGTGTCCCCTACAGTTGGCCTCAAGCAGTCACTCAGTAACTGTTGGTTATAAATGTTCCATCATCAGTCCCATGCCGAGCTGTGAAGTTTCAAAGCTGAGACTAAAGTAGACTGAATGGTATTAATCCCAAGGGAAATGGGTGTGGAGAGGACGAAAGACATCCAGATTGATTGTGAAGAGCTGAACCAGTGTGGAGGCTGTGGGAGGGGGGGGCAGAGCCTGCAGTGGATTGTCTGCGTCTCTGGAAGTAGGGCTAAGTTAGTGCACAGTGCTAGAGAGGTTTCTGTCCCGCAGAGAGCAGAGCCAGTTTGGGATATGGCCCTGGGGGAAAGAGCGGGCAGTGTCTGTGTGCTGATCCTAGGTGTTGCTTTGGCAGGTGCCCCGCACCTCAGAGATCTATATCCACCGAAGTGGTCGGACTGCTCGTGCCACCAGTGAAGGCCTCAGCTTGATGCTGATTGGACCTGAAGATGTGATCAACTTCAAGAAGATTTACAAAACTCTCAAGAAAGATGAGGACATCCCACTGTTCCCGGTGCAGTCAAAGTACATGGACGTGGTCAAGGTAAAGAAGTTAAACTCCCCTCACAGAGTAAAAAATGGTACTGCCGCCTCACAGAGAAGCCTTACCCTAGAGAACTGAGAAGTGGTTCTGCCCATGGCTGAATGGTGGCTTTTGTAAAAAGGCTGGACGTGCCAGACCTGGGAGAAAAGCAGAAAAGGGATAATGACCGAAGAAGTGTCTTTTCTCCCTCGTCCACTTTGATATGTGGTCCTGAAGTCTCCAGCTTCTTCCGCTCAGCTAGACAGTGCAGTGAGCACAGCCATGTAGACATCTGTCAGAGAGCTGTGAACAGCAGGGGAAGTGCTGAAGGTTTGGTATGCCCCTGTGGCAGAGCCAGTAGGGCTTGCTTTCTATGTTTACATTAACTCAGGAGCATTCACTGTGGAGGTGTGCACTGGGCCACAGCATATCAGGGACTAACATGGGGCAGTTTTCCCTAGAAGCTCACCAGTGTGTGTATAAGCCAAGCACGCAGCACGGTGAGGTCACATGGAGCATTGAGGCTGAAGGCATGTGGTTATGATGTGGGGAGAAGAGCTTTCACCTTCCTGCAGAGGTGAGGAAGGGTGAAGAGGGGGTGGAGTCGCAGGCATTGAGGGAGTGGAAACAAGGGGCAATCCAAGAGCTGGTGGCCACTCTGGCACCAAAGGAATGCTAGCTGTGTGAGGATTTATGATGAGGCTGGTGGGAGGTGGAGACACAGAGAATTCCTATTAAGGAGCCTGGGAGCCACCCCATTTTCATGGTTTCTTATTCCCCCTGCACATTCTCTCCCATGTCAGGGTGAAGGGGGCGTTATATCACTGCATTCTGACCCCCAACCCAGGAGAAGAGTTGACGAGACCAAGTGTGACGCCTGGGGAGACAAATTCACTCTGGCCACCTATAAGTTGGCAGCCTGGGACAGTCCTCTGAGGAGGTACAAGCAGGCGTTTGTGATTGTGTGTGTAATGATGACCTGGGCTGTTGTCAGGAGCCTGGGCAAGGGTTTCAGTAGGATCTGAGTTGTGTCTCACTGGTTACTGATCACAGAGCAGTTTCAAAATGGCTTTAGTGAAGCCTCGCTTGCTGAGAGGCCCAGGCCCTCTCTCAGATGAGTATTTTGTGCTCCTGTCCCCTCAGGAGCGGATCCGCTTAGCCCGGCAGATTGAAAAGGCTGAATACCGGAACTTCCAGGCTTGTCTGCACAACTCATGGATGGAGCAGGCAGCAGCAGCTCTCGAGATTGAGCTAGAAGAAGACATGTACAAAGGTGTGCCCGGGACGGGTGGGGATGGGAGGCTGTGTCCAGCTGGTTTTCCCTTTAACTTTTACCTGCTTGGAAGCATCCTCCCTTCTGTGATCCATCAGAAGCATCAAGGTGCTTCTCTAGTCCATTGCTTGCTCCTTCCGTGTGGGCCAAGTGCCCTGAGCCTTTCTTACGTGTCTGACTCTCCTGTGGACAGCCCATGGAGTCCACAACCAGGAGCAGACACAAACAAAACTTCCTTCTTAATGCAGCCTGTTCTCTTACTGTGTGGTTAGGCTTTCTGCTATACCTCTTTCTTCATCATGAGACAGGTAATAAACTTCCTACCTCCAGCTTAAGGTTGAGTAAAGAAGGCTAAATTGGGTATAGCTGTGCCCTAAAAACAGGAGGTCGCCAGGCTGTGGTGGCGCATGCCTTTAATCCCAGCACTCGGGAGGCAGAGCCAGGCGGATCTCTGTGAGTTCGAGGCCAGCCTGGGCTACCAAGTGAGCTCCAGGAAAGGCGCAAAGCTATGCAGAGAAACCCTGTCTCGAAAAACAAAAAACAAAACAACAACAACAAAAAAAAAACTAGGAGGTCTATGACATTGTCGTTATTTATCGTCGTAGTTAGTGCTGCACCTTCCTTCAGCGGCAAAGCCCCTCCATGTCTCCCTTAACTTGCCAGTTTCTTGGCATGAATCGAGTGGGAACTATTGTTCTTTTACATGCAGGGATAAAGGCTCGTAGAGAGAAGGAAGTTGTGCATCAGAACAGCTCTCCCACCAGGCATTGCCTAAGGCCTCCTCTGTGGGCCAGAAGCGAAGGAAGGGGTCAGGCTGCATGGCCTTGCATAGGAGAGCATGCATCTGGGGCGCTCCTTCTTCCCCACCAGCAGCTTGGCTCAGCTGGGGTGTTCACTTCTCAGCACCCAACCACCAGGTTCAGAGGCAGACTGCTGCTCAGTGTGGGAGCCAGGAGTTTGCCAACAGTGCCCTCCCCTTGTAGCTCTCAATAGAGATGTGAGTCCCTGGCTTTCCTTTCTGAGGTCAGGCTTGGGACTCGGGCTGTGTCTACCTCTGCGTGCAGTCACAGCCGTGTTGGGGAGGTCCTGAAGAATCGGGCTGTGGAGAAGTGTTCACTGTCTCCTGAGGAGTTTGTGGTCGCCACACTCGAGCTGGCAGCGTGCAGCTACAGTGGTAGGACAGCAGACTTGAGCCAGGTGTGAGTTCCGATCTCTGACAGTTTGCTCTGCACCAGTTATGGGACTCCGCTAAGCCTGAGTTCCCTTATCCGTCAGTTGAGGACTTTGTCTTTACTGGTCCCTGGACAGTGAAGGACGGTGGTCCATCACATCCTCCTAAACAGAAGTTAGCCGTTTATGGTCCTGAACTGTCAAGCCCCACAGCTTATCCTAGTCTAGAGCAAGTGTTTCTGCATAAACATGATCTTATATTTGTGTGTCTCAAGGAGGAAAAGCTGACCAGCAAGAAGAGCGTCGGCGACAGAAGCAGGTGAAGATCCTGAAGCAGGAGCTACGCCATCTGCTCTCCCAGCCACTCTTCCAGGAGAACCTGAAGACCAGGTACCCCACACAGTCTGGCAGGCTGCCTCAGCCTGTGGTGGCCCCCAGGCATGGCGAGTCTGCACTGAGCTGCCTCTCCAGACAGAAGAGGAGGAGGAAGAAGCCAAAAGAGCATCGGGCACCGCCACAGCCAAGTCCAAGCACAACAGGCTAACTGCCCTCCCCTCGGCCAATGTAGTGACTGCTCAGTGACGTCCACTCTCCAGTTGTCTGTGGAAGCCTCCCTGTCCTTGCGCTTCGCTCCACCCTCCCCCGGAGAAACCTGCCACTCTTCATCTTTAGCAGGAAAGACCTCATGCACACGTGTGTTGTGGAGTTAAGTGTAGTAGCCAGCAGCTGTGTCTCTGTAGCCAGTGTATACGGGCTTCTATGTACACCTTGGTTTCCAAATTAAAAACAAGTAGGAGCCAGAGAGTCACCCTGAGGGTGTTGCAGTATTTTATCATTAACTTTGAGATGTCTTTGGGGCAACATAGTACTGTTTCCTTCATAGGGGAAATGGTGTCATAGGCTTCTGGCTACAATACTGCCACAATGCTGCCAGGTCAGCATCCGTCCCTGTCCTTCTCCACAGCAGTGTAATACCAGCTCATTTTCTGTGCGACACTACTATCTGCTGTCTTACCTAAGCCACCCTGGAAGGTGGACAGGGAAGAGCTTGCTGTCCTTGGCCCACCCTAAGCTCACAAGGGTATCTATCAGTCACAAACCTGTACAGTCAAGAGAGACCACAGGATCTGGCCCAAGCTCCTGGTCACGTTCCATGTATTGTTTTTTGTAAAACTGATTTCTCAGCCTGAACTGCTCTGTGTTGTTCCTGGAGTTCGGCTGTGTGTTCTCTGTGAGGAAAGCTCGCAGTGCTGGCCACAGTTGAGCTGGCAGAGCTCCAGGGGTAGAGGCTTCCAGTCTATGCTGCAGGAACAGTGACCCCTGCTGTCCAGCTCCAGGTCGGTCTGGCTGAGTAACCACCACTGTCAGACCTGGGGGATGCACAGCTCAGCTTGAACTTTGAGACAGATGTTCCCAGGCATGGTTCAAATGTTTGGCTTGAGGAGTCCTGTGGATTTTAGTACACAGGCATGCATGAATATCCTAATATCTAAGAAACACAGCCTCTCTCAACTCTTAGCAAGGTGAGAGGTGGCCATGGGACTTCTTTTAGCCTTGAGCCTAAACTGGATTCTGGTGTCACTGTTCATTGAATGCCTGACATTAAGATACTTCATAACCCCCTGAGCCCAGGGCCTCGGGTGCTAGCTAGGCAAGTACTCGACCACTGGATTATAGATATGAAACACTTAGTGGTTAGATTTAGCCACTGCCACCCAACAGCCAGATGAGATGATGGTAACTCGGGGCATCTTCCTTCTGAGTGAGTTCTGCTATTCTGACGTTAGGACACAGCAACATTTCCAGGTAGATGCCCTTCTTGTGACCCCACTGTCTACTTCTCACCTGGCTGAGAGGACAAAGCAAACATCAAAGAGACCACCCAGGGGCCTCCACTCTCGCAGATGCTGCTGCGAGACGTCAGTGGAGTTGATAAGTAGGCTTAAGGCCCCTGCATGCACACCCTTGATAAGCTGAGGCCAGTGTTCAAGCCCATCCGTGTCCACCTAGTGTACTGAGGTTTGGTCAAGTCTGTGCACAGCTTCCTGCATCCACAGCTTCCAGTGGAGTCCACTCATGAGTGGCCTGTGGAAGATGGTGCTGTTCTTCATTACATAACCAGTACCCAACATTAAGAAGCCAGGCTGAAAGTTTATAGAAACTGTTTAATGCTAGGAAGATGTTTTCATCTGAAGGAAGCTGTAGGGCTTGGCCTTGGGCATTCACTGAACCCCAAGCCCTGTTGTCCCAGGCTGGCTGGATACTTGGCTCTTAGACCTGTTGCATTGTTCCCCTGGCTCACACTTGGGGAAGCCATTCACTTCTAGAAAGAGGTGGCTGTACAGGGTGCAGGAATCATTCAGAAAGTGGGCGTGCTGGCATGATTGTTGGTGTAGCCTAGCCAAGAAATTGCTGTGGCCAGCCAGGTTTTAGCATGTTCCCAAGTCTCCCTATTGCCCTGTCCCTAGACCCATCTGAACTCCTCAGAACAGCCCAGGTGGGCGTCCTGTGTTCATACCATTCAGCCTGGAAGTGAAGAACTGTCTGGCTGACTGAAACAGTGCCCACTCTTCTGGGGCACTTGTCATAGACCTCAACACTCTTACCCAGATCAGGGTGGAACAATAACAAAAGATGAAGGCCAGATTTATACTCCTTTGCCAGTGACAGACTCACTCAGCTGGAGCCTTTAAATCTAAATGTGGCCTTGGTTCCCTTCACTGCCCAGACATCTGGGTGCTTTTGGCTTAACACCAAACAAAAGAAAAGAAACAGATCTGAGATTTGTGTGAGACTCGGGATCCTGCTGTCCTGTGTGCAGACTCAGCAGACCCTCCCAGTAGCACCAGCAGTCTTAATCACTGCAGAATGAAACATGAGGGGGAGCTTGTACCCAAGGAAGGGTACCAGTGGGTGGTTCCACGGCTGTCCTATAGAGGAAGGCAGGGCTAACAAGTGCCTCAGCCCAGCTGGAGGCTGATTTTCCCACGGTGTCCTCAGGTGGACTCCTGAAAGTCTTGAGACAGCAGGGTGAGTAAGGGGGCTATTAGTGGTCACGTGCAGACCAAGAGGCCACTGCCAGCACTGGAAATGCCCCTGTTGCCAACTCCTATGGCTCTTCTGTTCTTTCCTGCCTAACTGCCTGTGAAGCGAGCTGGGGGAACTAGAGCCTTTCCCATCCGTGCTCCCCTCTTTCCATGCTGCACATACCCTACCCAGCTGGCGACCTAGACCCTACTTCTACATTCCCTGGGGATGATGGGCAGCTGCAGCTCCCTGGTCCCAGACGTGAACACACTGACTCAGGTCCAGGCCCTGTCTTTGTCAAGCTTCATCCAGGTGGGGTTGACAGCAGAACCCTGAGGGGCCTGTCCTCCAAAGTCAGGAGTTCGGGTCCTGAGGTAGAAGGACCTTACCTTAAAACCTGAGCTTCATGATGAAGGCTAAAGTCCTCTTCTGGACTTTGGGTATAAAATTCTCTCCTCTCTCCTCTCTCTCTCTCTCCTCGCTCTCCTCCCTCTCTCTCCTCTCCTCCCTCCCCCCTCCCAATAAATGGGAAAGCATAGCCATCATGAATGAAACTACACACAAGCCCCTCACATTCAGACAGTTGTCTACCATTACCCACCCAACAAAGTAGGGCTGGACTCTTCATAGGTCTGGTAAGTCACTGGAATATAAAATATGACAGCTGACCTGAGCTTTTCTTCCCTATGAAGGCCACTGCCCCTGGTGAGGACAAACCAGATATCCCCACTTTCACACAGCGGCATGTCAACACTGCCAGGAACCTCTTCCAGATAAATAAATAGGTCCAACGAGGTTCTTACAGTAAACGGATACATAGACTGGGTTCCTGGCTTTCTGGTCCAGAGTTAGCAGGCATTACATCATCTATCAAAATAAATACTAAAATTCCTACTAAGTCATGACAGTCCATAGTGGGCACAGGTCTCAGTTGAGTGGCTTTACCCAAAAGGCTGTATGTTTTCTAGTTGTCTAAGTCAATTAAAAAATCGCCAAGGCAGAATGTTCCATTCAGAATGCAGTCCATTAGATGATAGGCTCCGGCATGGCCTAAAATTAATCAGTGTTTTTCAGCTGCATAAAGGATGTTGTAGTGGGATGTTTTATAGAGCAGATAAACGGAAGGGGTGGCAGCCTCAGGGAACACATGGTGGTTCAGAGCCGTGTCCATCTCATCCACGTACTCCACCTGCAGAGCAATGTTCAGTGCCTGCGACAGAGCCGTGATCTGGACGTGGTCACACTCCATGGCCATGGGCTCCACTTCCTGCAACGCCAAAAGGAAACACTTAGGAGGGAGGCTTGGGGAGGAGGGTGAGTGGGTCAGGATCGAGGTCACCTGTGCTGGGGGGTGCTCTTCCGAAGCACGTGTGGGCGCAGGTGCTGATAACCCACCCGTCACAGACAACACGGCCACAGACTCCTGAGCTTGCAGAAAACGAACCTAAGCCATTTTTATTCCAGACCCTTTAAGGAATGTGCAAAAGAGGAGGAATCTTTAAGGCTAGCATCAAAACTTAAAACTAAAAGAACCTTGCCATCAAAGGCTTCCAAGTGTAAGTGCTTGCAGAGGCCAGAGCCTGTGTGTGGATGGGTTCTGATGCTGCAGAGACAACAGAGGCAGGGACCCCAAAGAGGGCAGCTGTTCTTGTGCCTACTGGTAGTTGCCATCCAACTTAGGGCCCAGTACTTCCTAATTAAAAAAAAAAAATCCAGATAGCTATGTGAAAATTGTCCACTTCTTTACACATGGGTCCCTTCTTCAGATAAATACATCTAAATAAAACCCCATCTTAGGGCTAATGTGACAGGAGTCCCAAATCCTGAGATTTCGGATAGGAGATTCCCTGGGAATACAAGCAGCAGCTTGCTCAAGCCTCAGAGCTCAGGCCACTCATGGAAGATGTCTCCAGGTGCTAACTTTGCTAGTTGGCATTGCAAGGATGTTCCTCTGGGCAGAAACAGTGGTCCTGGGATGTGAGAGAGACAGACAAGCAAAGCCCAGGCTGGGGGCTACATCCCCAAGGAGAGGGCCCTAGGGACCTACGTGGGTACAGAAGTCTTTGATGTCCATCTCCTCATCAATGAAATGTCGGAAGAAGTCAGCTCGGTTCCTGATGAAGGCCGATGTGAGCAGGCGCAAGAACTGCACGATCCGGTCCGAGGAGTTTTGGTCATTGAACACCTTCAGCAGGCTGGACACGGAGCCGTCCTTCTCTACCAGCTCTACCACACTGTAAAACTTCACGCTGCCACCGTCAGAACAGGCCCCAGCAAGCACCTGCCCCACCCCCCACCCCCACCCCACGGAACCCCCTCAGCTCATTTTGAGACTGCAAGTAAGTATTAATGTTGAAGCCCAGAGGCACATCTAGGGGCCTGGCATTGAGTCCCCTCCCACCATACATTCAGAATGGCAGGAAACTGACAATCCTCCAGACCGAGGTCCCCTGTTCCCTCATACTCCCACAAGCAGGAAATGACCCTGCCCTGCCCCAGCCCATGTGGAAGACCTTGGTCCTCAGCCAGTGTGGCTCGGGTGAACTCACAGCGTTAAAGAAGTTTCTGAACTTGTGTTCCTCAAAGCCGGCAGCCAGAAGGTCATTTGGGGTCTGTAGCACACGCTCTTTGAACCTAGAGGAGAGGAGACCTGATGGGCATAGGGGGAACACAGGGTGTTGCTGTGACAGGCAACTTCCTGGTCCATGCCAGCCTCACAGAAGTCCTTGTGGTGTTTCAGAGCACTCCACATGGACGCATGCTGACCCGATGCCTTCCCTGCTGTAGATGAAGAAATGGAGGCAATGATGTCATCATCCCCAGATGCGGCAGTTCTCTTTCAAAGGCTTCCTATCCCTGTGGGCCCACTTCTGTCTGCCCTGGTCATGTCCCTCTCTCTCTCTTTTTGCCTCCTCCCTTACGCTAATCAACTGTCACTTAAAGAATTAGCGCCCCTTACTAAAACCCAAATAGTGTAAGGTACAATGAAATAAAGCATATTGAAAACCAAGAACGAGGCAGGGGAGATGGCCCAGTGTTAAGAACACACGCTTGCAGAGGATCCAGGTTTGATTCCCAGCACAAGCTCACAACCATCCATAACTCCAGTTCCAGGAGATTCCATGCCCTCTTCTGACCTCTTCTGGCACCTAGGACGCATGCGGGACACATACATGCATGCAGGCAAAACATACAATAAAACAAGTCTAATTTTAAAGATAAAAGAACACTCAAAGCTTCAGTTTCCTATTTAGTACTCATTGTGCTTCTAGGTGGCTGGCTGGGTGATGTTACCTAAGTGGGGTGAGGATTGCATGGACCCCCAGCAGGCGCTTCTGTCCCTCAGATCCCTGCTCTGGTTGCTTATGAGGGGTAGCTAGAGATCAGCCCTAATGCCAGCTTGCTCACCAGTCAGGTCTCCCAGCCCCTAACCCCAGCCCTGTGGCTTCTGTTCCCACTCTGATGCATAGCCCCTTCCTGCCATGGGTCACAGGGCCCTTGTGGGCATGGTGAGGAGTCTGTCCTGGCCACCATGGAAAGCAGCTCTTCATTAACCTCAGGACCAGCCTGGCGCTGGGCTGCACTCACTATCAGGATCAGGGTCAGCCAAATGTCTTGGCAAAGGTGGCTGCCCTTCAATGCAGTGGAAGGAAAGAGAAGACCGTGTGCCCTCACTGTCACACAAAAAGAACATGACCAAGGCCAGCAGGGACAAGCTTCCTCCTTTTGTCTTTCTTTTTCCTTCCTTCCTTCCTTCCTTCCTTCCTTCCTTCCTTCCTTCCTTCCTTCCTTCCTTCCTTCCTTCCTTCCTCCTTCCCTCCCTCCCTCCCTCCCTTCCTTTCCTTTCTTCCTTCCTTCCTTCCTCCTCCTCTTCCTCCTCCTCCTCCTCCTCATGTTGGTGTTTGAAAAGTGTCTTACGGTATGCCCCCACATCGGTTTTTCTTTTTGCAGTAAATATCAAGTGCCCACCCCGTGTTGGTGAGCCATGCCTTCAGGCAGTGCTGAGGGAAGTACCAGACAAGTCACTGGCACCTTTCTCAGCCTCTGGGCTGCTATCAACGCCATCTCAGTGGGCAGCTAGGTTTCCCGGCATGCCATGCCTCTACCAGGCAGCTCTCAGCACCCCTGCTACAGCCTGGTCCGGGGCAGATCCAGCACAGTGAAGGAGAGCAGTCTGCACAGGCCCCACTCACTTGAGGATCTCTCTGCTCTTGCCCAGCAAAGACTCCAGGTAGGCATATCCCAAGGCCCTGTAGAAGCAGTTCCCATCTCCTTTGGTCTTTCGGATTGAGGTAAATCTTTTGCTGAGTTCCTAAGGGGGAGAAGAGGACGCACAAACCTCAGCAGCAGCGACGGCACTGGCGTGGGTCAGCCACTGGCCTGGCCATAGCTCCCTCCCTTCTGCGCCCCCCCACCCTCATCCATCCCACAGATACATGAATACACTGACTGGGATGTGAGACACCAAGGATGCCAGTCAGCCCCTGGCACCAGGCAGCCTTCCGTCAGGGAAAGTGACAGAGAGTTAGATGTGATGACAGTATGAGGACATGAGCCGGGGTGCCCTGGGTCAGAGACATCCACCCCAGACTTCTCTCATCAGGAAAGGGTTCCTAGAGGAAGATGGCAGCTGAATGTGGTGTGTGCGGAACACTGAACAGCCTTAGCCGTCCTCGGATGTTTCTCCACGGTGTCAGGAGTGGCATGCCACCCACTCTTGGCCCTGCTCCCAGCATCCCTCTGAAATGGCCTAGAGCCTCTCTCTGTCTTGTGGGACAGTAGTCAGGGTTTTGCCAGTACAGCCTGGTTTTCAAGGGACTGGGAAGCCCCAGCAACAAGAAGGCATAGGGCTTATCTGGATCACCTGAAGCAAGCTGGTCGGGGACAATGTACCTCTTTCTCAGCTCCTGAGAGGCTAAGGGAACACACAGAGTTGATTTTCCTCAACCCTGAGTCCTACTGGATGTCCTTCCTATGGTCACATGCAGACCTCAGGACACCAGTGTTACCCTGAGCTGCTGACTGCCTCCTGGCCCAGAGTAAGAAATGGCCCCGGCACCATGCTGTATCGGCAAGGTCCATGGGAGACTGCACAGCAATGTCAACAAAGACCAAGCCCATCTGCCATTGGCACCATGGAGTGGGGGCCTCCCTCCTCCCTAGCCCTGGGAGTGATCCCTGAAGCCTCCCAGTGATGTCCCCTAGTCCAGCAGTGATGAGCTCAGACCCAGCTCATCAGTTCAGGAGCTATGTGGCCACATTTCAGTTTGCTCAGTTGTCCAGTGAGAACAGAAATACTTGCCACAGAGAATCATAAAAAAGACTCAAGCAAGTAAATCCAGCACTCAGAACAGTGCTTAGCTTTAAAATGTATGGTTTTCCCACAAGGAAAGATTTCTTTCTGAGGTAAAGACCCAATGTCAGAATGGTGTAAGTGTTTCAGTTTGTCCAGGAGCCTGGCTCGAACTCCATGCCTTCCAAAAGCTGTCCCCTTTTTTACTCCCAACCTCCACCCCCTTCGCTGAGGCTCTCATCTCTCTCTCTACCCTCTGCCCCACCTGGATTTTCCTCTGGTAAATTCTATTTTCAGGATGATCCCGAAGAATGGATAGAATGTCACATTTTTCTGATATTAGGTTGAAAGATGTTTCACTCTGAAAGAGAAAGAAGAAACATTCTAAGCTGGCTTCAAAAATACTAGCAGGGCTCTTGGAACCGATAGCCTCTGAACAACCAGTTACACAACCCAGAACATGTCGTCCCCCCCTTGGAAGGGATGTGTGAGCATGTGACCGGCATCCTAGGGACTTCCTGCCTAGATTGTCTGGTCCCAGGGCAGGGGCAATCAGGCCTGGCACCATCATGAAGTATCTTGGCTATAAAGAACTGACCTCATAATTTGCTAACAGATACATTTTTTAATACTTTATACCTCAGACTTAATAAATCTCTATGTTGGAATATGCTCCCGCCGCATTCATTCATTCACTTATTCATTCTTTCCTTTACTTACTGCCCCCACCCCAATTCCTGAACATGCACCCTGTGTCAAGGTTGGTGTCATGCTACCAATATAGAGGTGTTCCCATCCCTCCACAAAAGCCAGTGATACCACAGGGCAAAGGTCAGCTGTGAGGTGACCCCATGTGGCACTGGAGGGTGTGTGCTAGGGACTGGGGACGGGGTAATGATCTGAGCTTACACAAGGTCTGGGCCAAGAGGGACATCTTCTTCTACCACCTACTGGTGGTGCCCAGCTCTGAGCCAAGGTCAGACCAAGCCTGAGCATATGCCTTGTGGGGAGTCAGGGTCTCTAAGCCCTGGAAGGACTCAGCAAGCAGGGTGGAAGCAGGGCAGAGGATGCCACGGGTCTAGGGATGGCAGTCACCTCCTCACCTGTGCTTTTCCACTAGGCCTGGGGTGAGAGTGTTCAGGGGTTGGAGCTCAGCCAACTGGCCATGCACTCTTGCCACCAGCCACCCAGGAATGGAGCTCTCCACAGAGCGAAATAAAAGGTGCTGGGCTGGTGAGATGGCTCAGAGCGTGGCCACCGGAGACTGACCCAGGATCCCACATGGAAGGAGGAGAGAACCAACTCTCACAAGCTGTCCTCTGGTTTGTGCCAATGGTGTGCATGCGTGTGTGCGTGTGCATGTACACACACACACACACACACACGTGTGTGCATACACACATTGTTCTTTAAAGTGCTGTTTGACCCACATAAAGAGTCCAGCTTAAAATAAGGGTTCTGTGGCTGAGGATGTGGCGCAGTAGATGAAGCCCCTGCCTTGTAAGCGTGAGGACCAGAGTTCAGATCCCCAGAATACATATACAGGCTAAATGGGCAACCTCCTGTAATCCCAGTTCTCAGGAGATTGGTACAGGGGATCTTTGGGACAAGCTGACTAGCTAGATGACCCAAGTCTGCATATTCTAGGCCCATAAAAAGTCTGCTAGGGCTTCTGGGAAAGGTTTGGCTTGGGATAAAAAGAGCATAGAGAAGCTGATACAATGTCTACTTTACAGCAGTCATCCTGTGATCAGAGGTTGAAAGCCAACATAAGGAGGATGGTTTGAGGATCTGCTGCTCCCTTAAGCCCTACCCGTGTGAAATGGTGACAGGTCCCATTACTTGGCACCGACTATGTGCCAAGCTCTGGAACTGAGGCTCGTATATCCCCATTATCTCAATTATCACAACACTCCTGTGAGGTGGCCATTATTATACTCAAGGCACTGCCGAGGTCAGGTGGTTTGAGCTAGGAGGTGATTAATACAGATCAGTGTGAAGTTCAAACGCACCCAAGTGCTAGGGAGGCACAGCCCAGACTCCAGAGCTCAAAGGACTCCTCGGCCAGACCACAAAGGAATGTCCTGTCCAGGGCAGTGTTAGACCGTCCTACCCAGAGGCTGGGTGCAACCTTTCATTTCTGCCGCCCCCCAGGGACGCCCTCCTCCCGAAGTTCCTGATGGGAGTTCGGTGTCTCCCAGAGCCTTGCCAGTCTGTGGGGCTTTCTGCAGGGTATCAAGGAACAGTTTCCTAAGTGACACTAGGCACAGCCATTAGAAGGTATCACAGGCTGAGGCTGTGACTTAACAGCGGAGCACTTGCCTGGCACACGTGCAAGGCCCTGGGTTCTTCCCCTGGCACGTGTGCAAGGCCCTGGGTTCATCCCCCCATGGCACATGTGCAAGGCCCTGGGTTCACCCCCACCATGGCACATGTGCAAGGCCCTGGGTTCACCCCCACCATGGCACATGTGCAAGGCCCTGGGTTCACCCCCCCTCCATGGCACATTGCAGGGCCCTGGTTCACCCCCATCTCTGCAAAATACACAAAAACAAAACAAGAAAGCGAATCCTACCACCACAGGGGTCAGTTAGTTTCTCCTCCACCTCCTTCGAGCCTTCTACCCGTGCCCCAAAGATACCAGCTTCTTCCTTATGGTCTTCCTTTTCAGTTCCTAGTCTCCCTTTCAAAGATCCATGGACCTCTGGCTTCCAGACTGAAATGGCTCCATTTCATTCCCAGATTGTTGGCTTGTTTTGTTTTGTTTTGTTTTCTAGACAGGATTTCTCTGTGTCAATCACGAGGTTTTAAAAAACCTTAGGTCAAGCCAGCTTTGACTTCCCAGGAATATAAGCATAACTATACTTCTAAATCATGGAATAGGGACATCATTTGTGTGCCACACAATTGCTGGTGTGCAGTTAATTCTGCTCACACTGTCCTGAAGAGGCAAATCCCCATGGGGAGGTATCAGTCTGAACAGCCCTCTTTACCCCTTGTATGCATGGCAAGGGGACCCACAGGCTGCTGGCAAAGCAGCCACAGGCTCTGCTCAGCCAAACTCCTCCTTGCCCCGTTCCTAACTCATTCCCGTCTTGCCACTTACCCCATGACCATTCGTTTATAAAATCAGTTTTACAGATGGCTGACTTAAAATGGGGCATGGGCTTTCTGAACACCAGGCTACAGAGCAGAATGGCCCAACTGTATTTAATGAACCTTGCACTCGATTCTGGCCCCAAACAAAACTCAGAAATGAATACACCAGGGGCACAGGGATCCCAGAAGGATGCCTAGGCAGCCATATTTCCTTGGTGGTTTTTAAGAAGGCATCAGCGGAGGAGAGGGAAAGGGACTCCGTTCGTCCTCACAAGAGGAATCCCGAGGGGAGGCATGACACCAGGGAAGGCTTCCCAGGGCCTGCATTTGCCTGGTGTGATAGGTAAACTTGCTGCCATCGACAAATTTACGCAAGCTATTTGAAGCAGTCACACTGATAGCAAGACACCGAGCAGCGGAACCAGCTGTGCACTCTTGAGCGGCACCCTTGCCTCAGCCTCAGTGGGAGATTTTTTTTTCTGAGTGTATCTCATTTGTCCCTAATCTCTGTTGTGTCCCCCCACCCCGTCCCTCACTCATTCCCCAACCCTCGAAGGTCTGCTTGCTATGGCTTTTGAAGTGCATGTGTCTTTAAGGAGTGTGGTGGTAGGTATGTACATAGCATGAAACATACCATTTTAGCCATGCTGATGTCCGCAGTTCTATGGCCTTCAGTACCTGCCACTGTCCCCCGACCCCCATCTTTGGAAATCACTCCTCTGCTTTCTGTCTTTATGAATCAGACTACAGATGAGATATCGTTTTCTATTAAAAAAAAAAAAAACAGACATTTGCCGGGCGGGTGGTGGTGCATGCCTTTAATCCCAACACTCGGGAGGCAGAGGCAGGTGGATCTCTGTGAGTTCGAGGCCAGCCTGCGCTACAGAGTGAGTTCCAGGAAAGGTGCCAAAGCTACACAGAGAAACTCTGTCTCAAAAAACAAAAACAAAACAACCCAGACATTTTTAAAAAAATACATATTTACATATATATTATGCTACAGATACTATGGGATTTTTTACCCCACTCAATACTAGTTCAAAACAAGCCATACCTAGGTATGGTGGCACATGCTTGTAGTCCTAGCATCCAGGAGGCTGAGGCAGGGGGGTGGTGAAATTGAGGTTAGCATAGGCTACACTGTGAAATTGTCTCCGGGAAGGGGATGGGGCTTAGAAGAGGAGGAGGGGAGGAAGGGAAGGAGGGAAGAAAGGAAGGTAGGTAGATGGGCCTTGGGTCGGCTTCTAGTGCCCCCAAGTGTATACATGGGCGCCCTAGTGACAAGCAGGTTTCCACCCTGGCACTTCCAGTCCCTTAAACAGAATAACCCAAGTCTCCACCCAAACCCACCAGCATTCCTGGGTGAGACAAGCCTCAGCTGCAGGAAGACCCTAAGGGCAGTATCAGTTTACTAGTCCAGGAATCTGGAACAAAGCTGCGTTTTGACCTTGGCTGAACTGGTGTTTGCTTTTAAACCCTGGCTGGAGAATTCCAGGTTGTTATGGAGAAAAGAGAAACAGGGTGCACCTGACTGTCCGGTCAGACCTAACCAGGACACAGGAAAGACCTTTAATTGTTGTTTTGCAAATAGATGCTAATTAAGCAGGGCATGCAGCGCCCAGGCTTACCAACAGTTTCAGCAGCAGAGGTGTGGCACGTTTCACTGACCAACTCCACAGCCAGGCCTCAGCTCACTCCTCTGCCTACAAACCCCATCTACCGGCCAGCCATCCTGTTAGTGCATCTGAGCATGCTCACATTCCAGGCCACGCCCACATCCCCAGGACACACCCACACCCCAGGCCCAGCAGCGCCTCCCAGGTCTATCTGAGCATCTCCGGCAGGATTGACTCACCAACCAGGCCCTGAAGTCACCACTTAACCACACAGCCTGACCTCAAGACACCCAGAAGAGCAGGTTCAGAACCTCAATCTCTCCTCTCGAATGCTCATGTCTTTGCCAGAGGCCACCCAGGCTTGAACCCTGGCCCTACTCGCTGGCCTGGAGTCCCCATGACACCAGAAGGAGAGTACTTTTAAATGTCTACTTGGGGGCTGGGAAGGTGGCTGAGTGGGTAATGAACTTACTGCTTAAGGGCCTGAGTTTTGTGACCCAGCACCCATATAAAAAGCCACGCACCTGTGACCTCAGCAATGGGAGGGGTATTTAGAGACACTCAGCTCTCCAGTGTTTGATGACCTGCCAATATAGCTGTCGGTGAGCTCCAGGTTCAGTGAGGAGACCCTGTCTCAAAAACTAGA